CTGGCTCACGAGGCTGAATGCCCATAATATTTCAATATAACTCCCAAGGCATTGTGTAAATCATAGCATAATTGTGTAATACATATGTTTTCATAAATCACATACAGAGAAAACAAAAAATGTCATGAAGGGACAGGTCCCTTCCAACCTAAACCATTCTATGAATGATTTGCCTTTGCATCTTTGGAGGTAAATACTGTCCTTGTGTGGGGTTGTGATCTGGAAGGTGTTTATGGTCTTTCCTGCTTTGGCTCTGCAACTGGAATATTTTGTCTTCAAGACTAGACATCTTGGAGCTGAGTTATGTGTGTGACTTAGAACTATCAACTGAAGGGGCTCAAGTAGCTTGCAGCTGTTACTGATTTTGACTGATTGGGATGGCAAGTTGTACACCTCTTGAAATGATAGAGTTGTATGTAAGGCATGTTTCACCACTGCAGGTATAAATAAATCGGCCTGCTACCTCAGTGTTCAGGTGTTGTCACAGAATCACAGAATGGTTTGGGTTGGAAGGCACCTCAAAGATCATCTAGTTCCAACCCCCCTGCCATGGGCAGGGACACCTTCCACTAGACCAGGTTGCTCAAAGCCTCATCCAGCCTAACCTTGAAGACTTCCAGGGATGGGGCATCCACAGCATCTCTGGACAACTTGTTCCAGTGCCTCACCACCTTCTTAGTGAAGAATGAATTTCTGATACCTGATTCAAATGTCCCCACTCCCAATTTAAACCCATTGCCCCTTGTCCTGTCCCTTACAGGCACTTGTAAAAAGTTCCTCCCACCCTCCAGCTTTCTTGGAGGCCCCTTCAGGTACTGGAAGGCTGCTGTAAAGTCTCCCTGGATCCTTCTCTTCTCCAGGCTGAACAACCCCAACTCCCACCCTGCCCCCACAGCAGAGATGCTCCAGTCCCCTGAGCATCTTCGTGGCCTCCTCTGGACTTGCTCCAACCAGTCGATATCCTTCTTATGTTGGGGTCCCCAGAGCTGGATGCAGGACTCCAGGTGGGGTCTCATGAGAGTTTCTCTCGATGCAGCTGAGGATATGGTTGGCTTCCTAGGCTGCAGGCACACATTACCAAGTCATGTTGATCTTCTTATCAAGTAACACCCCCAAATCCTCCTCCTCAGGGCTTCTCTCGATCTGTTCTCTGCCCAGCCTGTGTTTGTGCTTGGGATTGCCCCAAAACATGTGCAGGACCTTGCACTTCATGAGGTTGCACTTCATGAGGTTATGTGAAATAGCTAACATGAAACATGTTCTGATTTTTTTTTTTTTTGGTCTGAATTTAAAAGACAGAGAAACTTCCTGTGAACAGAATTGATTGGAATTCAATTGATTTAAAATAAATCTTTTCTGCTTTGCAGCAAAAAGTTGTGAATACACAGTGTGGCTATGATGTCAGAAGGAAGGTAAGGTGCTGGAATCTTGCTGTTGCTTATGTTCTGTGCTTCTACAGGCAAAACTATTAAAACTGTGGAATTGTTGGTAGATATGTCAAATTTAAAATTCTGGGAACTAACTGACCTTGCTGTATCATTCTAAAAGTAGAGTGTGGTATAGATTGTCCTTTGTTTGAAATAAATTCGTACTGTTGGAGGGTTGAGAAAACAAGTGACAGAACAGGTAAAAGGAAAGGGACATTTCAAAAAGGAAGTAGGACTTGCATTTCAAAGTGCGTTTCAGTTATTGGTTCTAATAGTCTCGCTCTGAACTCTATTATCTGCTAATTCTGAAGTATTCTAATAACAGGATTTGCAGGAACATACTAACATCAATGTCTGATGTTCCCTAATGTAATCTGGGCATATATGTATTTCTGGAGTCTGGTTAAAAACATTACTGCATAAATGACAATTCATTAGCTTAGCTCTATCATGTGATTGTTCTTAAAATAAACTTCAGCAGAGAAGTACTGTTCTTTTCTCTTCCTCTCTATATTCAGATCAAGAGTCAATGGGAGGATCAGATTTTTGTCAAAGGATGTATTCTTGCTCTTGAAGCGTGGCTACCCCGAAATATCTACATTGTTGCAGGTGTCTTCATAGCTATCTCACTGCTCCAGGTTAGTTGTGTTAGCTCATGCTACTTTTGAAAAAAGTTTCAAGTTTGCAGATACAGACCTGGTGAAGGTAAAAGTAGTTATGGAGAGAGGTAGAGTAAATATTTCAACACTTTTTTTTTAATGTATGAGTCTAATGTGGCCAAAACAAAAAAAATATACAGAGGAGGACTTGGATTGGGAATATCTGATGTCAACTAATGTTAAGTCTGTTGAAATTATGTTCCTCAAGGCAATGAAGGTCACTATAAAACCCAATATAATTAAATACATACAGTATATGATGATTTTGGTGTATATTGTTAAATATTAGCATAGCAATATGCTTACGTATTATTACTGTGATGTGATACAGTAATATTTATTACATTTTAAAATGCTGTGAGGGAAGGGAGATGATCTGGTCATCCACTCCAGTAGATCTAAACTACAGCCTTCTGTCACAAATATGAAACGACTAAAATACTGTTCTGTCTTTCATGCTAAGCTTCCCACTCAGCTGGCTGTGACTGCCATATGCTCTTTGCAGTATGTATGCCGGTCAAAAATGAAAAATGGAAGAGCAGGAGAATGGCTGAGCAGGTTGCAAACATGGTATTAGCAGAACCACACAAAGGAGTTGCAGTGACTTCTTCCAGTACCTTGCTGCTGCTTGGTACATGAAGGAAAAACAAAATCAAAATTCTCAGTAAAACATACTGTATCACTTCTTTCAAGGTGATTCTTGCTTTCATTGTGGCAGTTTTTTGCACTTGCCTAAATTTCTTTGCTATGGTACTGCTTCACTTCAGTGGATGATAATAAACTTGTAAATCTACTACAGAATGTATTTTCCATTTAAGTGAAAACAATTGAGCAGAATGTACTGGCAATATACCTCTTCCCAGCCACGGCCATGCTGCCCTCTGCAGCATGGGTATTTGATATTCTATCCTCGTCTAAAGAGAGTGCTGCTGTGGCTTTGAGAGGTGCTGTCCTGAGAACAGCACCTTCAGTTAGGAATGTGTTCAAGATGGAAAGGAAGTCTAATCTTTTGGCAGTGTGTTAGCTGACAGTAACTTGCAGATGTTGTTTTCATTCATGCCCTGAGTCTCTGTGAAACCACAATCAGTCACTTGTATTTTCAAATTGTGTTGTGTGCATTAAACTATTTCATGGTGGGACTGAGGGTTAGACATTACTTGTCTTCATCTGAAACCTTTCGGCTTCTTCAAAACTTCACCCCAGTCTTTTGCTGTTTTTCTAAGTAAGTATCACAAAATGGGCTGAGTTAAGAATTTCTTCAATTTGTAAAGGCAGATTTCCCTGATAACTTGAGTCAATGTTAAAAATTTTAAATCTAAATGTCTCAGGATAATATGGGACTTTCCTCACTACTGTTTGTGGCAAGAATTTAATTTTAGTGCAGGTAATTGTACATTCTGTATATATTTAAAAAAAAAATCAGAAAATCAACTGGATTATCCAAAGTTGCAGAAGGAATGAAAATGCCTGATTTGTAACTTCAGCAATAGGTGAGTGTTACAAGACTCAAGTGCCCTTGACTAAGTGCATTTCTCCTAGCTCTAGGGCCTCTGGAAGCTTATTATTTTGAATGCTCCTGAAGTGTTACATGAAAGCATCTTTTTCTCATAAGTCTTATTTTCTGCAAGATTCTGCTGCCTTTATTACTTTTTAGTAATAGCCATGCCTTGACAGATGATCCCAGCTATGGAATGATATCTGAACCTGCAAATGCTTTATGAATCCATATCTTTATTCACAAGAGTAGCTGTACTGGCATCAATCCAGTGTTGCAGGAACACATGAGAAGTAGGTTCCCATTCTGCAATAGTGACGGGGGGTATTAGGCTCTAATTTTTAGAAACATCTCACAGACTGGTATGTTAGAAGCGTTTCATCTCACAAATTGTTTGTTTTCTTGTCTCTTTAGATTTTTGGGATTTTCCTAGCCAGGACACTGATTTCTGATATTGAAGCTGTAAAGGCAGGTAATGCCTTCTGAATATAAAAGCAGGAGCCTGTTGCAAAAAAAGTATATTTTACTGTTACTGGTCGGACGCTGAGGTGGAAGAAGTGCGCAGACCGTGAAATACTCCTGTTATTAAAAGCCTTATGTGGATTTTACCCCGCTCGTGCTTTTCATTAGAAGGTGGTACAAAAAAAACCCCACCAACCTCCAAACACACCTGTCTACCTTTTTTCTAACAAGACCACTCAGTGCACCAGCATTGATCTCTGAGGAAGAAATGAAATTTCCCAAGACGTTGGTGGAAGAGATTTGAAAGATTGTAGCAAGGAGACATGAAACTGCTGTAAACCCTTTCCTTGAAGGATTGCCCTGAAGTTTGTTCTGTTTTCACTCCCAACTGCCATCAATCTCAAAATATAACCTTTTCAGAAGGTGTGCTGATTTCTTCAGAATCTTGAAATAATTTTAATCTCTACAGTAGACTCATGCAGTCAATTTTCGGGAAGATATCCAACAAACATAGTCGTTATGATATTGGAAATTGAAAAAAAGTCTCACAATTTGTCTAGTTCTTTAATTGATTTTCAGTTGTGCAGAAGTAGAGATATTTCTGTTTGACTGGAAATAACATAGATGTCACAGGAGCAGGAATTTGTTCTCAGCATCAGAGCTTGAGTAACCCATACTGTTTTGAAAATGCAAGCCTTTCTCAAGAGGGGAAAAAACTGGCTGTTGTAGCATTATATGTTAGAAATCTCCATCTCTGGCAAGGGGATGTGAATCCCTGATGCTGTGTCCTGTCTGAAAAGTATGTAAATATTCTTTATTTATAGAAGAAAAAAACTCTAAAAATGCTTAGCTTTTTATTGATCGGTAATATCTTTTAAAAGTGCTGTGTGCAGAAGTTTCAAAATACATCTTTTATCAGTAGGTAGCAAGCATGCTATGCTAGCTGTTGGTGGTTTTTGCCTTCCCTCTAGTTTCTGTCACAACTGCTATGCTGATACTCACAAACCCTAACTGCTGTTATCAGGACTGATGAAAAGCATTTACATTTAGTATTGATCCCTACTGAAATACGTTTGTTTTTTTTTTTAATGAGGAAATACACATTTAGTGAAAGATTATAGTTGTTGAATCTTTAAAATTTCTGTAAAGCTATTGAATCATCAGTTCTGCTTGTATTCTGATAGGTAGTTCAAACACCAGTCACAATATGACAAACCAGGATGACTTCTTCACAGTAATTATGTGCATCAAACTGAACTACTCCTGCTGATGTCAATGTTTTTGTTTTTATCAGAAGAAAACTAAACTCTCTTCCCATCTTCCCTTCTTGGAGGTTTAGTAGGTGGATCTGTAGTTCAGTAAGACTTCCAGTCTTCTCTAAAAGACTTTGGCATATTATTTTTAGCTTTAAGATAGAAGTATGTGACTGAAAACTTATTGGAAGTAGCTGTCAGTTTTACCGTGGGCTGTATAACTAACATTGTTTACTGCTTCCACCATTTTTTCAGGGAGAGCAGGTTGATTTACAGTGCCTATCATAGTGTAAATTTTAGAAAACTATATATTTTTATAATGATATTTTACTACATGTAGTCTGCTTGAAGGATTTAATACTTGTATTTCCAAATTATGTGGCTTTCTTAGGAAGCCGAACTTTAAAAAAAAAATTCTCTAACATCTTTTTTTCCATTACGCATGTATTAACGAACATTTCACTGCCAAAAGCTGAACAACAGTGAGAATCTTTGAGTCTGTATTGATTGTCCAGACATTCTTCTAGCTTTTAATCTGTGTAGCACTTCACAGACAATGCTGTACTTCTCGTGTTCAGCTTTCATAGTTCTTTTTCTAGCCAGTGCTTGAGACACAACAGGAAAAGGAAGCTTGTCTGAGGATGGCTGATTTCCTTACAGTAGCAGAGAACAGTCTGCTATTACTTATCTGAAAAACCTGAAAGTAAAATGGCTAACAGTGCACTGAGATTTTCTTTTTTTGGCTTTGATATACAACAAGGAACCAATAGCAGTATATCAGTGAGGAGGAGAGCAAGAGACATTTCTTCTGTAGAGCCTTGAATTTGAGGTCTATATTACTTATTTGTTGGATATAGTCCATTAGGAGCAGCCAAAAACTTGGTGCTGTTACTGCTACTTTGCAAGCAGCAGCATCTAGCAACCTTTGCTTTGAACTCTGGTGCTTGAGATTTTATACCACCTCATCAACCATCATACTCTGTTAAGGTTATGTGTGATAATCTGATGTATGTAAAATTGGAGAAGGACGCTCTCTATTTGTAACTTTGTTCGTAAAACGTTGCATTGAAAATTGCATCTAGGGCGTACAGTTCCCTTTGCCACATTTTGACACGCAAAGCTCCAACTGCTGGAAGTAATTTCAGCAGTTGGTGAAAATCATCATGGCATCAAAGATACCTATGGAGTTTGTGCACTGAAATAAGCTGCTGACAAGAGCCAGTGCTGTGGATCAGGATTCAGTGTTTGCACATCTTGCCAAGTTGCCTGAAGACAAAGGAATTCTTGGTTTCTTTTTGAAGTACTGGTTATATGTAAAACAGAATTTAATTGAAGTACTGCTTTCCATGGTTTGTTCTTACTGGCTTTGGCCATATTAACACCAGTTTTGCATCAATGCTCCAGTTATTGAAACTGAACTCAGGAAAGCAAGTTCAACCTATTTCAAGATCTTTAAATTCTTGGAGTAATTTGTTTTCACTGTGGAAACACTTAATGTGCTTATTCAACATCACTTTTAAAACCCTGGGTCTCTAGGCTGGTTTACCTCCGGACATTAGAAGTGCACCCCCACTGGTGTTGCAAATGGCTAGTGTAATTTCAGACTTGGAATGGTAATACTTTCTTGCCACTTCCTACTTAGCTATATTTAGCACCTTCTCTGTGGGCCTGCAGTGACTTCATGGCTAAAGACTTAGGTTATGGTTTAAAGAAGTCCTGTCAGCAAAAGCAGTTGGGAGTAAGCCTGCTGCTAAAGCCTTGAAGGAGCAGCAATTCAGCAGTCTGAGAGGTTTGATAAATTGTTGAGATTTCAGTGGTTGCATTTCGAACAACTCCACAAACACTACAATGGAAACAAGGTTTTTAATGAAGATGTCAAATATGGGATCGGACTTGAATAACTTGACTGAGAAGGAAACTTTTCAGTGTGATCGCTTTTATTTCTCAGAGATGAGCACATTTTCTGCAAAGCAATGTATTTATTTGTCAGTATGTTTGATAGTGCAACTGCCTGTTGTTTCTATTAATATACCTGCATTTGGACACAGTTTCCCTGTACATGAAGAAGGAGGATAAATATAAGCACTGAAAAGAGTGCAGTGTCCAAAGGAGCTTCAGTCGCCTCCTGAAAACCTGAATATTTCTTCCCAGGGGGTCTTTAGTTTTGGTGACCCTCATACAGTGCCATATGGATAGACTTGTACCATCAGTCCATTGAGGTTGATGTGGCAATTGGCTTATATGTAGAATTGCCTTGTTTTTTGTTTCTCCATTCCATCCTTTCATCTTTCTTCCCCTACTGCCTGTGGGTTATCATGCAGCTTAAACATTGTTTAGCCACAGGAAGGGGAGGTTCTGTCTGTTATTCCAAGATGGCTTTTCTGAGTGACTTTTGACACTTCTTTTTTTTTTCCTCAAGCCTTAAATTTGATTAAATAAAATGTAATGTTTTGTACTCCTGGAGTTTGATTTCTAAGATTTGTTGCTTCTAGTCACTGACCTTTCCTTCTTTAAGGTTTAGACTTGCTATTGAGACTGCAGCTTGTGGATAACTACAGAAATGGTAAAGGTCTGGTGTGTGTGTGTGTATTTTGCTGAAACTAACTCCTGAGTGTGTGTGTGTGGTTTGGTGTTTTTTTTTTTTTTTTCCCCTCTCCAGTTATGGCTGCTGAATTAGTAGATAACACTGGTGCTTTTCCCTCCACTGTTAATGGAAAGCCATGAACAAGAGCAGCTGCAGAATGGTGTAGAGAAATTATTAAAACTCTGGATACCTAAAAAGTTAAAAATGCTGTTTGCGCTTTGACTGCCATTATCCACAGTTACTGCTCCTGTGATTTGCACAGTCTGTGGTTTGTCATGTCCAAGCAACGCTCCTGTAACTACTCTTAAAGAGTGCAGAAGGGAAGTAGTTGCCAGGTTTGAAGATGAGGCTTGCAGAAATAGGTTTGTGTCTGCTTCTTTGGTAATTTTAACATTTCTTTAATGCATTAAAACATTATTTTAGTTTTAATAAGGTCAGAAAACATTTAATCAATGATAATGACTATATTAGAATAATGTAATATCTAGAATTGGATATTCTAGAGTGTTAAGGCTGGATAATTTCTGCTAAGAATTACTTAACTTGAATGTGGCAATTTGGTGTGTGTATATATAGAACTTATAATAGATCCTGATATATCTCACACTAAGGCCTGGTTGAGGCACAACCCCAGGTCTTATTTTGAAGTTCAAATTGTCTGAAGCTATTTCTCATTTTGACACTGGAAATGTGTAGGATGCCCAGACCACTGTGTGCTTTAAGCTAGAGGAAACTACACATGGTTCAGGTCTTGTTTTTCTTTTCTCCTACTATGTGGTTAAAACCTGCTTGTGTGTTACTCACCAAGTGACTTTTCTGGGGTGATTTTATGAAATTCCCTTTCTTTTGAGTACTCCCAAAAGTGATATTTGATGGCACATGTCATGACCTAAATAGTGTTAACAAGTTTTGCAAGTCAGAAAGCTTTTGCAGGAAAACTGTTGTAATGTTTGTTTGCAGACAGAAGCCAGTTATACTTGAATTGTTTGAGAACAGAAGATCTTGTTGACTTCTAAATATTCCCTGCTTTATGACAAATATTTTGAAGGTCAGTACTTTTTCTGGTTTTCCTCAATGACTTTTTTTTTTTTTTTAGCCAGCAGTAAATATAATTTTCTTTAGTTCCTCACTATCCATCTCTACAGGGTTTTGAATTTGATCTCCTAGGGCTTGGCAGTGTGACTCTGCAATGTACTCACAACTGCTTCAAAAAGTTCCCCTAAGAACAAGTTGTGCAATAGATCCTGCTCTTACCTTTTTTTATCAAGTGACCATTTTTAAATATGAAAGGTTTCTGTAGAAATGTTCAGACGCGTTTGTTTTACTACAGTTTTTCATTGTCTTAGGTTAAACCCGGGTTCTCTTACTGAAGATAATTTAATGAAATGCCAGCTGCCTCCAAATCTTCATGCATGTCCACTTGCAGTTTCTAACAATCTTTAATTTATATCTTCTCCAAGCACTGTATGGATATTGACTGCAGTTTCCTGTAAACTTTGCTTCTACTGAATCTCATTCCAGGTTACAATAGCTGCAACTCTGAAGTTAGGACAAGACCGTGACCTCAGATACTTAGGAATGTAGCTTGTCACACTAGCAGGTAAAACCCTGAGATGAGTTTTAAAATTGGAAATTGAAGGGAGAGTTAGTTTAAAGATACAGTGTTGTGGTGGTTTTAACATGTTCTGTTAACAGCTGGGCTCACAGGTTGATTCACAATGTGCATAAGCTACAGCGCTCATCTAATCTAAAACCCCATTGTTTCAGGTTGCATGACACAAGCTTGAGACTTTTTTGTAATGAATTTCAAGTCCCATCGATATAAAAAAAAGTTGCAAGTGATATCCCGATCCGATAAAACCAAGCAGTTTAAAAATGTGTATAGAAGTGGTTATTGCCTGATGCTTCTCATGGGTTGTTTTCTGAGACTTTCTTGACTGGCCTTATTCCTAGTGCTGTGTGTGAGTATCTCAGTGAAGAGCAGCAGTGGTGGAAGGATCCAAGGCCAAATAGATGAGCAAATAAGTATTTCTCTTGGTACTTACAGCTCTAAAACCAGGAGCTGTACCTGGGCTTTAGTGGTGTTGGTTATGTGGCAGCATGACAAATGCAAGGTAGGCTTGGCAAAGCTGGTGCTTTATTGCATTTGCCTCAGCAGCAGCGCAGGGTTGCTAAGGGGAAGAATGGAGGCTACTGGGGGGTCTTTCCTCTCAAAACCTGTAGTGTAGTGACAGCTTCCTTGACCACATTTGCATTGCTGTGACTGCAGAGTTGTTCGAGGGTTTCTTTAATCTTGTCCGCTTCTATTTCTTGTCTCAGATCACCTGAATGGGAGATGAAATGATGACTTTTAGTGACATGCCATGCTATAGTGACTCCAAACAATTATTGTAAGCTAAAAGTTTGGAGTACTTGCTATTTAAAATAAGCTCCTTTCGTTTAAATAAATTTCTCTCAATAGATGCCTTTTCAGCCATTGAAAGTATTGAACAGTGTGCCCTCGCGGCCAAGAAGGCTGATAGCATCCTGGGGTGCATTAAGAAGAGCGTGGCCAGCAGGTCAAGGGAAGTTATCCTCCCCCTCTACTCTGCACTGGA